CATATATATGTCTGGAGATCTAAGCGCCAGCATCAGGCCACGGGACCAGTGTATTTGCGGTACCAGCAAACGGGAAGACTGGAGCATGTGCAGATGGGGGGCCAGGCTAGGGTGGAATGCCAGTGGTGTGATCACCAACGAGCAAGCGGGATAACAGGCTTTGGAGCCAGATATCCGGGACCAGATATGGGAGAGATTGGGGTCAGCAGGTTGCTTACCGGAGCCCGGTCTAAGCCGGTTTACTGGAGAAAATGGGGCTGGCATCTCAGAGTTGGCTGCTGGAAGGCCGTATGTCTGGATCAGCTAGCAGAGATTAATTTCTCTCTAGGTGAGAAGATTTGAGTAAAAGCAAGTAGAGTAATACTGCGGCGCTCGGCTGTTCATATGCTCCAGTGCCAGGAAATCCAGCAGATAAGTTACTGGACCAAATGAGTGTTTAAGGCCTTCTCCTGAAGGGGTTTGTGTGTGTACACGGATGTGTTTATATGAATATACTCTACTAGTAGCCTTCCAAACTGATCGGCTGGAGAGGAGGAAGAGGACTCAGCCACTTGTACCATTCACATTTGAGTGCCATGTATTTTCTGTGTTGATCAGTGTCACTGAACGTGTGCATTTTTGCCTAGTGGGAACACACTCCCAGCCTCGCTACTGGCCGGACTGGGGTGCACGGAAGTGCCGCAGCCTTGCGTCTACTAAGGTATGGGACTCAGCAGCTTCTATTGTCACCCATCTCAGCATCCCTGTCCTTGCTGTTGCATTATTTTGCTTTTCACTCCTGTTATTCTCGTGCAGAGTCTTTAACCTGGTATTCCGATGGCTGTTAAGTGTTTTTTCTGTCAGGTAGGCAGCAATTCTGCGGTGAACTATGGTGCCAGATACCGCTACATAAATAACGACTCGCATTTGAGAAAAAGGTAATTGCAGCCTGCAGGGTCTTAGTTCCATGTCAATCAAAGGCTTTTACTGATGCCCTCTGTTAGGCAAGGACATCTCTGCTAGCTTGTTCCAGACACGTCCTGTTCCACGAAAGAAGGCAGAAAGGCAGATGATAAAGCTGTTCAGAAATGAAAGCCCTTTGGCGGAAACGTTCCCGGTAGCTGTGAAAGAGGAGGGAGTCTACTGCAGAAAGTATCGGTCCCCTAGCAGGGTAGAAGGCCACAGGGATGTACCGTGTAAACTAGTTTCACTGTGTTGATATTCTTGAGGTAAAGCACCGAAGGGGAAAGGGTACCACGAGATATTTTATTCTCGGAGCGCTCTGAGTTTTGGATATGGTTTATAACACGTTACTCTGTGGACCAAAGACAGGATTGGAGAAGCCAGGAGAGGATTCTGGTTTACTTGTTCTGCTGTACAGAGTCTGACTGAAATTGAAGTTCCTGTTACTCTCTCTCTCGGGGAACAGTAACGTCCTTGTTAGATGTATAGAGATTTCGTCTTTCCCACTTTCCCCGAGTGCTGTGAGTAAACATTTGGGTCACTCACTTCCCCTCTGAAAGGTATTCCCAGTAACTACGATGTCCTACCACGTAGCAGTGAATCTTTTCTGTCAGCAGAATTTGACAAAAGCCTTCTGTGTAAAAAAAAAAAACAAAAAAAAACCAAAAAAAAACCAAAAAAAAACCCCTACAGTTCAAGAATGGCCCACGCAGAGCAGTTGCTTCCATTTTGGTAGGTGTCCTGAGATTCTTGAGGGCCGGAGAGTAAGATCAGTTGAATCATTTGGTCAGCAATTGGAGGAAATTGACTGGCAGGTACAACTCTTTCCGCGGCTCCTGGCAGCCCAGTCAGACATCGTAAAACAAGCGCACTAGTTGGTACCGGATTGAAAATGCAATCACGCTGCCCAGGACCTAGGTAAAAATAAGACAGACAATGGAAACATTGTAGTGGGAAACAGTTTACAGGCTGGCAGATTCCTCCTTTCTAGATGGATCTGCTAGGCTTTCCAGCGTGCATCATTTCACTAAATAACCACATTTAGGCTGTTTTAGCTAGAGAAAGACGAAAGGCAGAAGCCTAGGCAAAGCCCTTCGTTCTTTCTCTGAGAATCGTAGCTATCTGCGGGGGATTTCTGCGTGTGCCTGCGCACGGTCGCATCGTGAGAACACGTGGATGAGACGAACCGTTGGGAGCAATGCTTTCCTTCTTAAGGAGCCTGTATTATACCGTTATCCCTATGGTCTGTAGTATAAAATACTGCACGTCAAAGCTGCGATTCAGCATCCTTACAAGAAGGCGCTGCCAAGACTTCTCTGCTGTGACTGCGCTCAAGGCCAAGCAGTACGTACTCCGCATCCTCTCCCAGCCCCTACGTGCCTGCCTAAGCCCCGTTCGGTCTCCAAGAAGGGGGGATCTGTTTCCTTCTTGAGCTGTGTAGACCTCCGATTCTCTTTAAGTTCCACAGCTCGACTGCCTTTTGTGTGAAGAGCACGATACTTTACTTCCCCCTTTCCCCTTGAAACTCTCGAGACCGATTCGGATCCGTTTCTGTTGCAGAGTACACCTTTCGACTGGAGGAACCATTTGCCTGACCTGAATGAGTAGCAACAGGAGCGTGAGATTTCGCTCGTGCGTGGGTCCGATCAACTTTATAACGAAGTTAATAAGTGTCATATTATTGCACTCGGTGTATTCGCCATCTTCGTCCGTTCCACTCTTCACATCTACTATGTGCAAGATCCTGACTGCCTGGGGAAAGAAATATCGCACGCTATTTCACCAGGTAAGTTTGGCGCTCAGCAGCTGGTTTTGCTCAAGATCCCTTTTGCTGTACCATCCCTGAAGTCTGGTTTCATGCTCTTACAAAAAAGACGACAGGCTCATGATGGTCCTGGGACACGGCTACACATGGTTATTCTGAAAGATTGATCATCAACACAATCGAGTGACCCCGAGGAACGGTGATAGACTAAGCAGAATATCTTCTTCTGGATTTGAGACAGGAAATAACTAGCGAACCCAGAAGTTTTACGTTCCCTCCCATCCTGTTCCTCTTGCATTTGATCACTGCCTCAAAATCCATCTGGATTTTGAATGTTTTCCAGATATTACCTTCAGAATGTATGTTCCGAGGGCAGAGAGGCTCTTGGTTTTGAATTTGGAGTAACTCATTTCCAACTTCCCTGTACCAGGATTGAGCCTAAAAGAAACATTAAAATTTTAGTCCGGATAGAGCAAGGAGACAGCGGGGCCTACGTAAGCGGACTCAGGGGCGTAGCTGAGTAGTTGAGAAAGAAATCCCGTGGCGGCAAAAGCAGGAATAATCCAGTACCCTTAAGAGCAGCTGCCGATACCAAGTCCCTCCGATTGGGCGGAGTCAGGAGGAGGTTCCTCCCCACCGCAGCCCCAATATACACATAAAGCTGCGCAGTTTTAGAAGAATCTAACATCTGCAGACACAACGGCTGATACGGCACAGTGCCACAGAATGCTCGCTACTACAAAATCTTAGCAGGTCCCACCGCAACACCATTAAAAGCGGCCTCTATCAATTTCTCTCAGTCTTTGAGCTGAGAATAATCATATTCTAACGTTACTAAAAATCGCTCTTCTCTATCTGGGAGGGTGGGGTGCTCAGAAAAGTTAACTTCTTTGAGAAACCTCTACTGTATGACTCGACTGTAGCTGGCAGAGCGAGCCAGCTAACTTTTAGCTATAAACCCCACTGGGACGGCTTTTAAAAAGAGCATCTACCACCATCTTTCTCAGCTGGTGCTGGAGATAAAAGGCACAACCTGTGGTACCATTATAGGTCACTCGGGTACGTTACCTCGGCAGCCGGTGACGGGGACAAGGAATGATGTGGAAGAGTTGAGGCAACGAGTAGAGGAAGTTGAGCACTTGCGGGATGAAAAACAGCAGCATTGTTTTGCTGAAGTGCCCCAAGATCCCCACCACGGCGAAGGTCATGCCGGCAAAGTAGCAGAAGGTGTCCCCAACGAACACTCGAGATGGGTACCTGCAATCCACAGGGCAGAAAAGCACAGGTCTGCCATGATGGCTGCTGCCGCAAAAATGACTTTATGACCACTGAGTATATTCCCACATGGCAAGTTAGGGGCCAAGAGGGAACTGCAGCAGATCTACGCAGTAAGAACCATTGCAGGTATTTATGCTA